AAGTAAGGTTCCCACAACCAGCAGTGATCTGACACCTGCTAGCTTCATCCTCTTCCCATCCCATCCCAGTGCTAAGCTCCCTCTGCCAGAGCAGGCTCCAGAAAATAGAAGCAGAGTTATTTTCAGGATCCCAACTTCCCTGCTTCACCATGGTGGGCACAACCGTGATCTGCCAGGAAACATTTAGCAGATTTGAAAGGTAACAACAGAGAAAATCCAGGCCATAAACACCACGGAACATTTGTATCAAGTTTTACTGCCAAAAGTTTTATTTTACACTCGAGTTGCAAAGGAATATGGTGTACACATCATACAGGAGCAGAAGTACTATGTTAACATATTTGTTAGCCATTACAAATTTTCAGAAAATAAAACATCCTAAGTTCTCTCTTTGTCCCAATACCTGACTTACCTTTTTGCAATATAAAGAACATTTGAGGAGTGGCAGAAGAACAAAGAATGGCCACAACTTGTAACTGAGGAGTTTCTGGCTGCACACAAGGCAAACAAGGTTTACAGCAAGGCACTGGAGCAGGCTGCCCACAGAAGATGCTCAGTCACCCTCCCTTGAGGGTTTCTAGATCTTACTGAAGCCTGAAGCCCTGCTCTGAATTCAGCACTGACTCAGCTCTCAGCAGGAAGATGGACTAGAGACCTTTCTCAACATCCACTCCAATCTGAATGATTACAAAATTTGATTCAAGCACAGTCAGCAGCCAAATACAAACAAATCAGCGAATGCCTCGTCTTCCCCACTCCCAACAAAAAACAACACTCATCTTTAATGAATCATCTGTACAACAGTCCAGCATGACTGAAATCAAAGGAACAAGCAGCAAATTACATCTACTGAAGAAGACCAACACCACATTAAAAGGCCTTTGCATAATTTAAAATTCTTTTTGTAACAGCAAACACATTTCATTGCTCTTTACATATTTGCAATTATCAGCCATATAACAATACCAAATATATTCCTAGTCATCTTCAACTGGGAAATCTCCTGTCCACACTGAAAAAGTTTATATTGGCCCTTGATACACTGGCAGTGCCATATCCTCTGCAAGCGTCCCAGGGAAGCCAGAAAAACAGGGACTGGGAGGTGGAAAGGAAGTAAGGAATCCCAGAACATCTGTTTTATCCTGGGGACCACTTCTCTTCCTGGCTGAGACCTCTATCTATTGCTAGGGTTTAAATGAAAAGCAAGTGAAACTATCAGGAAGGACTCAATAATTTCCTATTTTAAATTTAATGTGACAGAAAATTGCAATTAGACAAAGATTTAAGGCTGACACCCATTACTAAGGCAGCTGTAGAAGAACTAACTGCACAAAGTGATACAGGCATGCAACAAGGAATAAAACCTGAAAAGTGCTAGAAATTTTTTTTGTGCCAGCAAACAACTGATCCTCTAAAACAAGGTAATTACCCTGGTGTACATGAAAAGCCAACAAATGTGTGTATACCAACACCAAATGTAACATTTAGCTCTACAAACCCCAGTTCCAAAACACCAAACTTCTCGGTTTACAGAGATTTTAATTTCTCAATCCCAACATACCTCAGGATAATTATGAGCAGTCAAAGGCCAGACAATTTAACCAACAGTGAATCTCTGCAAACAGAGATCTTCCACCTCTGAAAGCCTGCTAGAAGTGTGAAGTCAGACCGTGCACCCACCACAGAGGCAGCTTTGGTTTGGCTTTGTGTTCGGGCAGCGTGGGCAGAGAAGCAGCAGAGCAGCGAGCTCACTCCTGCACCTGGAGGGTCTGGGTGGCACAGCAACAGAGAGGAGCGTTGTGCCCAACTCCGGGCCCAGCCAGGAAAGCTCTTAGGCACCTTCTGATTTCAAGCAATAGTTAAAGGCACTGAAATCAAGTTGCTGTAGCAGGAAAACAACTGTTAGCTGTATGTGCAGCAACAAGACAAGACAGTTACACACACAGTAAATACAAAGCAATTAAGGGAAAAATCTCTTTATCTCTTTATGACAGAAACCTAAAGGCCCAAATTCAAGGATGTCTGATGTACTTGGAGAAGCAATCTATTCCAACTCTACAGTACTGAAATAAGATCAGATTTGTGGGATTCAGGTCTCTTTAAAACACAAAACAAGTAGTAATTTGGTGGAGTTCCTTCTTCATTCAGCACAAAACAGTGAAAGCCCAATGACAGTTTAGTCATGTCAATTTTGATACTTTGAAGGGAGAAAAGAAGCCAAAATGACACAGGGGTTAAATCAGTGAAGATAAAAGATAAGAAAGAACAGATAGTGAAGAGGGCTGGATTCTGATACATCTAACTCTGAGACATTTGATACGCAGGCATGGGAAAAGTGTCAGAGATAGAAAGGTTGTGGCCTTGGAAAACAGGCAAGTAAAATTGTCAGGGATGTTAGAAAATAGTCTAGAGCGAGTCAGAAATAAAAATTAGACCTTTGAATTTGAACAGATCTGAGGCTGGCTGGATACTACAGGAATAATCCAGAGATAGAACCATGGGAGAACCAGACCAGGGGGGAGAAGCACTAGATTTTTGGGGTGTTCAAATGAAGTGCAACATAAAAAAAACCCCAAAAAACAAACTGGAGAGAGGGTGTTTAGGTACATGAAAACAGATGAGAGGGTGAAAAAAGGACAAAGTATTAAAAACCAGAAACAGTTATGATGATAGTGCCACCCCCATAGAAACAGATAAGGAGAAACTTGGCTGCAACTGAAGGAAAAAGTAATTCAATGAAAGGAATGAGAGGTATAAAAGATACAGAAATAAAAAGGGCAAACTTGCACAGTTAAGAGGAAGAGAAGCTCAGCTCAGAAACAGATCATGAGAATAAAGATAACTTTGAAAAGGATCTTGTCATGCAACAAATCAGGATTGAAGATTTTGTATCAAGAATGAATGGAAAATTAATATGAACTGCAGATCTCAAGCAAGCTCAACAAGAAAAGAAAGGGGAGATAAAAGTGGTTTTAAAGTCCATTTGGGAAGAGCATTGAAGTAGGTAAGGCAAAGCTGAGTCCAAAGCTGTGTTGTGCTGACACACTCTTCAGCTATTCAGAAAGGTTGGAATGGAAATTAAGAAATTACAAGAGAGTATGTCTGGAGGGAGGAATGGAAACAGGGCAGTGTGAGAAGCAGCCAAAGAAACCATGTACAGAGCACCAGACAGAGATAAAAATAAAGACCAGTGAGTAAAAAGAAGTGAGGCCAATGAAGGAAGGAGGCAGCAGTGAAGACGAAGGAGTCAAAAAGGTTAATAGACTGGAGATCCCAAAAGGAGTGAGTGACAGGGTAGAGGAGAGAGAAAGACAGATAAGCTGAAAGAGAGCAGGTAGTGATCAGAGAAAGGGAATTTAGAAATGAGAGATAATAAAGTGAGCAGTATTTAGCAAAGACAAGGTCATGGGAATGATTGAGGCAGTAAGAAAATCTATCTAAAACTAGAAATCACAGGCATTGGGCTGGAAAAACAGGATGAAGAACAAAGGATTAAAGTACTGATCAGGGGAAAGGAACTGGGCTTGCCCATGGGGAAGGATGAAACTGAAATAGGTTGAGTTTAGCAAACACACAAAGAAAGCTGCAAACTAATGACCACTAGGAAAATTAGACAGAGTACTTCAAACCAGGAAGAGGCTACAGGAATGACAAAGCAAAAGCAGAAGTCACAGAACTTTAGTGGTCAATATGAATGGAAAACACTTTTTAAAAAGCATCAGAGAAAGGAATAAAGTTTAAAAAAACCTAAACATCTATATTTGAGTAATGTTCAGAAACATAAGTAGCACCCCACCAAGCAGGGTCCACACCTCTATTTCCATCCTTGCCAGAAAGATTTACTCACCCAGATCAAACCAGAGATCAGAAATTCAAAGGCCACTGCCAACACTGCCACTGGCTAGATAATGTGGAGCTATGGCTGGCTTGGGAAAATTTTGACTGTTGAAGTAGATAAAGACTATGAAAGACTATTACAAATTATGAAAAACCAGTAATTTGACCTCTGCCATCCAGCACCTTTATGTCTTGACAAAACAAGACCAGAAGGCCTTTGCTGCCCCTCCCTCACATCACCTCCTGCTCCTACCAGCTCACACAGCCAATGCAGCATTCACCAACACTCCAACTCAGCTGCTAAGATTCTCTCTCACACTGTGTAACAGCAAAGATAAGAGATTAAGCAGACAGATTGCCGCAAACAAACATCACTGCGATTTTGGGTCCCATTCAGAGTTATCTGAGAACCACTGGCATAAAAGTTCTTCTCCATTTCCAAGCCTCTGTCAAGAATTTCACTCTACGGCTTTCTTAATCATGAGCATGAATAAAACACCAGCCTTCCCAGACACTTCTAATACTGCATTTCATCTTCTGCTATACTGGCATGTTTTTAAAGTTTCTGCTCATTACAAAAAGACAACACACTTCTATTGCCTGCTCATACAACTGGGAGCTGGATCATTAGGAGTGCAACAAAATAGGGGAAAAAACCCAAATTATTCCCTGCTACAAAACCAGTGACACACAGAGAGTATAAAAAGTGAATTGAGCACATAATTTCTATCTACCCTACTGATTACTGTTAATTCATGTGTGTAGATGTGGTTCACTCAAAATTACTGAAATTACATAAAAACCAGCTGAAATATAAACAAGAGCTCACAGGACTGGGGCCATAATGGGAGTTCTTTGTTGTTTTTATGCTTTATCACATATTTTAATATTGAAAATTATTTTAAATTTAGCTTAAAATTGTAGTTCAAAATTTTAGTTTAAAACACACAACATATTGGATGCAGTATTTTTACATAATCTTTTAACAAATAATACAAAAATTTATTTTTTCACTGTACTATCTTTTGTTACAGTCAAGAAATCTCACCTAGAATCAACTACTGGAAGCAGTAAGTTGTCCACACGATAGGCAGTACCTACTGTAACACATATATATCTCTAAAAAAAGAAAAGTTTGAAAAAATATCATAGAAACACTATAATTTTTACATTACATTTAATATCTGAATGTTTTATTTCTATTGGACTACGGCACAGCAGGAGAGCTTTTGAGACAAAGGGATTTTATGCAATGTCGTTCAAAGCACAAAAAGTTCACTCCTGACACAAGTTAATACTGGAGCATTACTGAAATAAAAGGAGGAGCTGGTCAGACATTTTGGGTAGAAATGTAGCATTTTTTCTTTAAAGAAAATAAACACATAATGCCATAGCCTAAAATAAATAGTGCCAAATGTTATCATCAACATATGAAAAATAGGATGGTGGTTTAGAAAAGAAAATATTTTATAAGCACATAGCATACATTGGAGTGTTATAACAAGACTTATAATTTTTATGTTACCAGGTATTTTACTTTAGGGAGAGATTCTACAATCCCCACTTATGTAAGCAGTTCTATTAACCCACACTGGCTTTTTAATTGTAGAGTTTACTATCAAAGTCAGGTGCACAATTCATTCCACAGATTTTAAGTCGGGAACAACTATTTCTTTTCTTCTGCACAATATTTAATCATAAATACTAAAAAAAACCCCACATTACTAAAAAAATTTAAATGCTTATGTATGCACATTTGCTAACTCTTAACTCATTATTCTTTTACTCAACATACCCTTCCAGGGGAGGGATATCTATCAGCAGTTTCTGGCAGGAAAAGTTCAATACTTTATCCACAATATTAGCTACAAATAGCCTGCATTGCATTTGGGAGTTTTTTAGTTTTTGATTTTTAAATGTTTTAAATTATTTTAAATGTTCTAGCACATTTCAGAAAAACAATATTTGCGTACTTGTGCATATTGAGAACTAATTCTGGGAGTCAAGCAAATATTGTACTGCCTTTTTCAATACAAAGCATTTCATTCTATGACACGTGAAACATTGTTACAGAATATAACCATAATGTTTTAAATTATATAACCATTTCATAAATGAAAACAAATCTAGAGGTTGCTAAACAGAAACCAAAATTTCTCCAATACTTCTTTCCATCAAACTGTTCCACTGAAGTTCTAAACGGTTAAGTGCACACAGAAGTGAGAAATAAAACTACAGTTTCATACAATTTTTCCTACAAAACCTGGAACCAAAAAATTAAAAAGTATGTATTAAGATAAACCAATGATCTGGCACATACCATCTAAAAACGTCCCTTTTTTTTTTTTCCAAACAATTTTCATAGTATTTGCAGTTTTAAAAAATACAAAACCGAAAACAGCCCTGACCCCTCCCTTGAACACAAACTCCACAAATTTTTTTTTATTCTTTGAGCATTATATCAAGTAAAAATTACAGCTGTACAGAGAAACTAGCAAAAAAAAACCCAAAAACTGAACGCTTGGATGTGACTGCACCTAGAACCTATATATGTATGTACATACTTCTGCTTTTATTTGAACTAACTTTTTACCCACGTAAAGAAAAAGACTTCACTGACAGTAACAACTCCCTAGCTGCTATCACTGATAATAATTACCTTTTGGCAGTTCTGTAAAAAAAGTTCAGTCTTGAAACTCAAGGAATTTCATTTCACTCTCCATTTTTACCACATTTTAAAACTAGACACATTCCTTCCTTAACGATGAAAATATTATATAAGCATATCCCAAAAGGCACTAAGGTCTAACAAAAATAATCAGAATCTCCTTTTAAACTAACACAGTATCTGTAAGATAGTTTGCATATATAATTATTTTCCAAATTAAGGCATGGCAACTTTCTCTTAAACATAAAAGCTATAATCTACTTCTGCTAAATATAAAACTAAGTCTCAGGATATAGTATACAAAGATCACATATTTATGTAGAATACCTTTTGTGTTATACTGGACTATTACATCTTTGCCAAAAGATTTCAGTATTTAGAAAAAAAATATTAGAATTTAAATATACTGTAAGGCCACTCACACTACTTTAAACACAAAAATCTACAAACAGTGACATATACACAAACAGTTGGGAAGTTGTAACTTAAAGATCACATCTTTTAATCAGACCTGCTCAAAGGACAGCCACAAAAGAACCCTATTGGCTACAAGGAGCATCTGCATGTTTTTAAGACTGAACTATGCAGACTCCCATTGCCCCAGGGCAGTGCTGCACAAGTCTATTGAAAACGACCCGAATGCTGAATCAACACCTTAAATTTTCCCAGAAAACCTCCAACAAATGTTTTGTATATTAAGAGAGACTAACAAATCAAAAGGGGACATGACAAAAATTTCAGCATGACAATTTTCCTGAAATTATTTTTCCACTGCATTTGGCAAGCAGAGAACTAATTCTATTCCTTGTCTACTCTTACAGCAAGAACTGCAAACTACAATTAAATATAAAATACAATAAGCTCCTGTAATAATTATGTTCCTTTTGGAACAAAGATTAAAATTAAGTTAACTGTGCTGATTCATACTTCCCATAAATTACTAAAAAGGTGAGAGATTCAGACATTTTGCTTCTTGATAATAAGCCTAATATCTGTATCATGTGCAAAAGTGCAACTGTGTTTTAGAACTAAGGCCCAACAGAATACAATTTTGTTATTACAGAAAGTATACTTGAACCCACTAACATGGAAACAGCGGTTCACAGCATCTTAAAATTACGCTTTACACATTTAAACCTGTTGTACAACTGCAAGTTAGTAAAAAATACAAAACCCAGAGATAAACAGAAAACAACAAAGCCTGTATATAAATTGGTTTACAATTCAAAGCACAACAGTAAGCTTCAAATAATTACATTAGTGTAACACACACGGAGAGGTGGGATGATTTATTGAAAGCACTTGGTTCTTGCTGCTCCTTTGCCGGGGCTCTGCCGGTGCTCAGCTGCTGGCGGTGTGTGCGTGCATGCGTTTCGCTACATCGTACACGTAGGTGATGTCTGGGCGCTTCTCCGGATCCGGGTTGATGCACATATTAACTAATTGTCGCAGCTATAGAGGGAGAGAACATGACAGGAGCGTTGGCCTTCTTACAAGCAGGATTTGTGCATTATCACATTCAAATTAAGAGAACTGGCAAAAATGAGGCAAACGGCGATTCTGCACAAGCACGCAGGCAGCCCTCCCTCTCCCTCACACGCTGCACGCAGCCTTATGCAAACGAGTATGCAACGCACTCCCCTGATTTCTGCATTTTGCACTGCTGGCCAGAAAAAGTGATAAGCAAATTCAAGTTCTAATCCTTTCAACATACAACTTTAGACATGCATTTAGTCCAATCCCGCATGATTTACAGGAAATTCCCCGTGTTTCTGAAGAGCTGTGCCTGCAAAGCCCTGCAGACGGAAAGGAGCACAGAGCGAAGGTAAACGAGGGCTGCTTTGCTCATTGGGTCCCGGTACAGGAGTTACCAGCAATAGATGGCATTTCTGCCTGACACGGCCCAACAAACAAAAGGCAGTGGTGCTCCATCTAACACACAGTTAACCCCCACAACCTCCTGCTGCCAGGAGCTACCAATACACACACATTCAACTCAGCCACTGAACAAATTAAACCCACTGAGGGCTACCTGTTAACAAGGACTCCACCCTTTCAGAAATATCTGAACATAAAACTGGAAGCTGAGAAAGTATTTTGGGCAAGTACCATATTACGCTGGCCCTGTTACTCCACTTGTCCACCACTGAAGACAATACTGGAATACATAAGCTCTGATTATTACATCCTGACATGTATCCTCTGGATTAGATTGTTTATAGTGTTCTTTATGTGAAGAAGCACATAATTAACAAATATTCACAAAAGCCTCTACATGGGAATAAACAAATCGCAATGACCAGAAAATCCCATGTTTCCAGAAGCACCATAACCTACTGGGTGTTTTTAAAAGACATATTCAGCATAAGCTGAATATGAGCTTCCACAGCACCTGCATACTTCTCATTGCCTTCACAAACTGTCAGGACATTTGCAGGCTTTTCTCCCTCCACTGATATACCTAAAAATTTAGGACATTAGAACTTAATGTATTGTATGGACAACCCTCTGATAGGGCATCTATTTTAAATTGTGTGCATCTCCTAAGGATTTTTCAATGTGGAACATACCTCTTTCATACTGACTTACTAAAATCTTCACAGTGCTTTGCCATAACAATTTAACCAACTCTGAAGATTTTCCTTTATGCTTTTAAATAGCTTTGCCAAATCCTCCTGGACCTCCTTATAACATTGGGGACACGTAGGGAGGGCGGGAGAGGAGGACACTCCAACAAACACCTTGTGATCCAGTCTTCTGTGGCAATACATCAAATTTGGTTTGGTCTCCCAGGCAGTAGTACTAGGTAGGATTATTGAAAAAAACCTGTAATTATTGCAACTAACACAGAGCGACCTCATCACCCTCATTATTCAAAAGTAACATAGGCTGCCTCTTTAAAACCTGCCATTGGAGAGTTTCCCTCCTGCTTTTTAGAAAAAGAACAGGAAGGATTTTAAATTATAATTCTACTCCTTTCACTTTTCTGAAGATTAATTTAAATGCACAGGAACAGGAATTCCTGAAGTTAAAGAAGAAGCACTGCATACCACTCCATAAAGCTTTGTCCATTAGCCCTTGCAGATAAACTGTACATAATGTGCAGATTTTTTGTATTCAACAGAATAAAATCTATGTCATTAGATTTAGCAAGAAGAGCTTAATATTTAAAAATGAGATAATTCTGAAGATAGTGGTCAGATTACCAGATTGAAATGAAGTGTATTAAAATAATCTGTAACAGACTTGCTATTTGCATTTTAAATACATTAAGTATATTCTGACTAATGGAGTTATAAAGCGATCATATTGCTTCTGGCAGTCAATAAATAAAATACAATGCCAGTGGCAATAAAAACTATTAGCCTAATAGTTTGAAGAACAGAATGCTGGAAATCATTAGCTACTGTAAGAAATAATAATTGCCAGCATGTAATATCAACATGCAAGCCAAACAATCTCCTGCAGAAGAAGCAGGTGGGACACAGGGTAAGCAGGAGGCACAGTATAAGCAGAGATGAGCAGCTTGCCATGCAACACCTCAGACAGCCTGCACAGAAAACAGGAAAGACTGAAGAACATCTAACACCATCAAGTCTGAAATTAGAGTCAAATAAGCAAACATTTTGTGAAGAGAATACAGGTATAATTTATCTGCAAAATACATCTAATCCTGAAGGTATACGTTTCTCTCTCTGCGAAGACTTCCATCTGTTCAACAGAACTGCATACAGTGAACAGTCTTCATAAAGGACCTTGAAGGGCTGAAACCCACAAAGCCAGCATCAGAGGGGAAGCAGAGTGGTTTTTCTACTGGTTTTTTTTCTAGCTATTTGTCAATACTTTACTGTTTGTAGAGCAGCAGAAATGGGTCTTCAAGAAATTGACTTGCTGGGCACTTGAGAAGCCTTGTCACAGACCTCTTTAAATGGCAGTCACTGCAATTACTGCAGTATCTCTATGCCCCTCTTCCCTTGGCAGGTCCAGAATCTTACTGGTAAGGCAGGAATGCTGAGCTGACCATGTCTGGGACACTGCACAACAATAGTGCAGATTCCTGAGTAATTTCAAAATCCTTGAGCTCTTTTGAGCCTTCTAACTGAACAGCAAACCCTTGGAAGAAGGTGAATTACTTCTGCTATACAGGATGAAAAATTACATGGGAACACAGCTTTCAGGACTGAAACTGGGACACTGGATAGCACTGGTTATAGCACTGATCCTTTACTCCTACAGGAATATCCATTTCAATAAACTTGAAATCTATCTGTCAGCCCCTCTAGTACTAATAAAACTTCCAGTGTATCAGAAAAGCTCACCAATGTCATGGGAAGAGGCACTGGGAGTCTAAAATCAGACTATGATTAGAGACAGAAGTGATTTTTTACTACCTGGCACAGACTGGCCAAGAGGCAGAGCAGACTGAGCCAGAGGGACCTCCTGTTGCCTCCCCAAGCTGCAAACTTCTTTGTCTGCTTATTGTTCTTAACCTCCTCTGTGCACTTAGCACAGTGACTGGCTTTAGCCTGGAGCTTAGCCTGACACTGGAGCAGTGGGACACACTTTCTTTAACTTTAGCAGGTTTTTCAGCTATGAAATAAATAATTATCAGTCAAGTCAGGAGGAGTGTGGAAAGACAGAAATATGACAGGCAAGTAGTTTGCATTGTTAGCCAGCTGAAATAGAGAAATTTTCATACAGGGAAGTTTGGATTAAAAAACCACACACAACACCATTCTTACTCTGAATAAAACCTTCTCAAAGCCTTTTTTTGAGTGCTTTTCTCAAGACCTGCTGGCAGCTAACACTACCATTGTGGACCTGCTGGCTCCTTCTGCTTTCATATCTGGGTAGGAGGTTGGCAATGGACTTCAGAAGAAATGCACCTCAATCAAAGGGAAGATTTTAAAACTTCATCATGAAAGCAACGTGATACTAATATTAGCTGACAAGATTTTAGGAGTATTGATTGGAGGTGGCAAGGGAGCCCCAGCTTTGAATTCCCAAAAGCAGAACAGCTTTCAGTAAATGCTGAGTACTGACTCTGAATACCAGATGTTTTTAAGGGATATTAAAAAATTGAGATATCCAGTGTTATCAAGCATTTGAAAATCTTGGCTTGTATGCACTACTGAAGCAATAGTTTGTACAAATGCATCTCAGACTATTAGGATTTCTAATCAAAGGTTTTTAAAAACATTATCCATCTGTCCACCTAAAGGTGCATCTTTCTGTCCCACTGTTCTCTGATGACACAGATGTGACACAATTACTAACCTCTTACAGAGGTTTCAAAACTTAGAAAAAATGTCACACCTTAAAACTCATTAAAATCTACTTACAAAAAGTTTACTGAAAAAGTACTTGTCTTATAATTCATAGTTAAAGTATTTACGCTTCTACTATATTAGAGGATGCAGAGATCAACACTCAGTGAAGTTTTTATTTCAGAAAATTCTTTTTCATAAAAAATGAAGTGGGTTTTAGTATTCAATGATCCCTGATCTTTAGTGCTCACTGAGTATCCTTCCCACCTGGTTAAAGGTTTGACATCTATATTTCCAGTACAGGTGAAACATTTAGCACAGTATTCTAATATGACAGATCACATTTACTTGTTTCTCTTTTTTACAGTTCATGCCAGCACAGTATTTTTCATACAAGCTAAAAATGGTTTAATAGTGCAATAGGTAATAAATGTATGTTTTCCAGGTACCTTAGTGAAGACACAAGTCTTTATAGCAGAACATAAAAAATATTCCCATTACAGTTTCCATAACTGATGGCTTCTTTTAAGAAACTGTTTTGTTACCTATCTTAATACCTATAATAGCTCTGATTCTCTCATTAAGAATAACTTACATGTATTTTGCAGATAACTGCCTCATCCAAGGTGCAGAAGTACATGTCTGCTTTGAAATAAATAGAAAGTAACATGTTGTGCTTTGCATGTATTTGCAAAACAAAAAATCTATCCAGATGTAAGGAAAAGCTG